TAACAGAGAAGTTTTGCACAAATTTGGTTGATAAATTTTTATGTTTAGGATTTGTTTTTAGTGATTCTTGTGTCCGTTCTTCATAATCCACAACTGCCTTTTTGACTGGACATGGAGTGTTTATATACACCTTGTCGGGTGAAATCTGGCCCAGATTCTGATAGATTCGTTTCTTGTTGGCTCTGCGAGCGCTTTGGTCATGCAAAGTGTGCCGGTATTCTCGGCCGTACTGCTGACGCAATCGCTGACCCGTCTAAAAGCTTAAGATGGTCATGTCCTGACTGTAGGCAGCGGGACATTGATTTTTATAAACTTTTCACGGAGACCCGTTATGGTTTCTCGGAATTGAGTAGAAATCTCGGCTCCTTATGGGAAAAGTTTGAACTCATTAAGTCTAGGTTTGATGAGTGTCGTTTTATTGGATACTCATTTTCTACTCGTAGCGTAGCGTGTGGGACGTCACCTCTGGCTTTCTCCAAATCTGAGTCGTTGGTACAAGTTACCGCTCCCTCTAACTCTAAAATGAATAGTAATGTTTCCGATATTGCTGAGTCGGTGGGTAGCAAAACAGTTACAAACAAACCGGCAAGTCCTTCTGTTTTAAGCTACGCTGAAGTGGCAAGGGTATCTCCGCCCAGAGCCGCCACTCACTCTAATCAAGCGCCATCGCCTAAAAGTAATGAAGAGAAAAATAAATCATCCTCTCCTCCTGGCTGTTCGCGTGTAAATGTTGGTCACCAGACTGGGCAAGTCCCACAAGCTGCAGGTACAAGGGCGATAACCCCATCTATATTCTCCCCAACTCGAAACTATCCTACCGTGAACCCCCCTCCTGTTCCAAATAATGACATTTGCTTGACGGCAGTTCCTCCCAGAAAAGCAATATTTGTGTCAAGACTGGGACCTGAAACTTCGGTGGATAACATAAAAGGTTATTTGGCGACGAAAGTCCCATCAGTCAACTTAAAGCGTGTTAGCATCTTCAAAATGGCTCCTTCTCAAGCTAGGGCAATCTCCTCTTTTAAAATATTAGTTCCGACTGAAAACAGTGATATGTTGTTAAACAAATCACTGTGGCCAGTAGGATCCTTAATTAAGGAATTTATCCCTCGTGATCTTCCCCGTAATACTAAGGGAATAGTCTTGTCGCCTTCAAAAAACTAATTGTTTCTTCAGGCCCAGTATCTCCCATTTATCAAAATGTTAGGGGCCTAAATTCGAAAATTCGTTCCACTTTTCTAAATTCAGTGAGCACGGAATTTTTTTGTTTGGCCTTTACTAAAACTTGGCTAAAACCCGATCTTCATTCGTCGGAACTTTTTCATAATTCTTTCCAAGTCTTTAGAAATGATCGAGTGAATCGCATTGGTGGTGGTGTATTAATTGTTTTTTCAGTGAGCACGGAATTTTTCTGTTTGGCCTTTACTGAAACTTGGCTAAAACCCGATCTTCATTCGTCGGAACTTTTTCATAATTCTTTCCAAGTCTTTAGAAATGATCGAGTGAATCGCATTGGTGGTGGTGTGTTAATTGCCATATCTGCGTCAGTCCCGTCCAATTTAATTGAATTTCCCACTTCTCCTGACGTTGAATTTATCGCTATTCGTGCGATAATGCCTAATAAACAGCTATTTGTAACCTGCTCCTATATTCCTCCAAATTCTGATATCTCCATTTACAAGAATCACGTTGCCCTCATTTGTGAAGTGGGCAAGCGGTCTAGACCTACCGATTTGGTCGTTGCATTGGATGAATTCAACTTGCCTTAAGTCACTTGGTGTAGCACTGATAACTCTGGCTGTTTGGTTCCTACTTCAACGTCTGATAGGACTGTTGTGTTCTTTAGTGAATTGTTTGATCATAATTTTGGTCAATATAATCGTACCCCTAATTGTAATGGTAGACTGCTTGATTTCTGCTTTGCCAATTTTCCCGAGATTTACATTAATCGTTGTCCACCTTTTAGTTTACCTGAGGATCCTTATCATCCATCAATATGCATTTCCTTTCATCATATGAATGTTGGTTTGTTGAATTGCCTTAATGTGCCAAATCAAAGTTTTTTAAATAATTGTTATGATTTTCATAAAATCAATATTGTATTACTAAAACATCCTTGATTTCTCAACCGTTAGTATTGAAAGCTTATTGTCATCGTTCTACAATACATTAAATCTAGCTATTGCTGCATCTGTTCCGATCAGGCATTGTCGACCTCGAAGCAGGTGTCCTCCGTGGTTTAATAAGACAATTAAATATCACAAGAATAGAAAAAACTCGCTATTCAAAAAATATTCGAAAAGTGGCTCTGCGCTCGACTATTTCGCTTACTGGGTGGCGAGGCATAGATTTAACTCCCTCAACCACCATTATTACTGCAGATAACTTCCGTTCATTAAATCCTCTCTGTTTGCTAATCCTAAATACTTTTTTAACTTTGTTAACTCTAAAAGAAAAATTTCCACATATCCCTCTCATGTTTCTTTTAATGGCTCTGATTCCTCGAATGATTTTGAAATCTCAAATATGTTTGGTGAGTATTTCCGACGAAACTTTTCGATTGCTAATTTCGATTTATCAGCAAACTACCCATATCCTATAGTTAACTCTGTTTCAATTCCTAATTTGGTAATTTCGGAAGATGACGTTTTTAAAGGGTTGAGTTCTCTAAAATACAGTTGTTCGCCTGGACCTGATGGAATTCCATCATGTGTACTTAAATCTTGCGCTGTCGAGTTGTGTGGTGTGATCTCAAAGATTTTTAACATGTCCTTGTATTTAGGTGTTTTCCCTTCATGTTGGAAGAGCAGTTTCCTTATTCCTATCCACAAGAGTGGAAGTAGACAATTTGTTGAGAACTACAGAGGCATAGCCAAGTTGAGTGTCTTGCCCAAGTTATTTGAGCGTATTGTGACTCATTTGGCCTTTGCCATTAATTCGTATAATTCTCCGCACCAGAACGGCTTTCGGAAAGGGCGATCTACAGTCACCAACTTGTTAGAGTTTACCTGTCATGTTTTCAAGGCTTTTTCTAGTGGCTCTCGCACAGTTGTAATATACACTGAGTTAAGCAAAGCGTTTGATTTGGTTAACCATAACTTACTTATCTTTAAACTTCGGGCCTCTGGCTTTTCTTACTATTTAGTGAACTGGTAAAGCTCTTATCTGCACAATAGATCCTTCAGGGTTCTGTTTAATTTCATCACCTCGGATGAATTCCCCGTGACGTCTGGCGTACCTCAAGGCAGCCACTTACGTCCCATTTTATTCAGTTTATACATTAATGTTCTCCCATCGGTGATTAATTCCAGTCAGATCTTAATGTACGCCGATGATGTGAAACTGTTTTCTTTTTTCTCTATAGAATAGCAATCACATCAGCTTCAAAGTGACTTGAATAATTTTGTTGCATGGTGCTCTTTGAATCTTTTGAAACTAAATCTAAATAAATGTAAGAAGCTTTCTTTCTCAAGGAAAAAGTCGTTCATTACTCAGTATTTCATTGATTCGCACAAGTTGGAAGATGTCGATTCGTTCACAGATTTAGGCGTTCTATTTGACTATAGATTACGTTTTAACTTGCACATTGAGCTCTCGTTAAGCAAAGCTAGGTCCACGCTTGGTTTTATAAAGAGGTGGTCCAATGAGCTTGATGATCCATACAGTACTAAAAGGCTGTACATGTGTTTGGTTAGACCCATACTCGAGTATGCCTCAGTTGTGTGGTCTCCTTCCTATAGGTGCTACGTAGATTCAATTGAATCTGTTCAAAAGCAATTCTTGCTATTTGCCCTTAGAAATTTAGGTTGGGATACGTTTGCCTCCCTATGAAAATAGGTTGCTTCTGCTGTCCTTACCGTCTCTTGAGAAACGTAGGTGTGTTCTTGGCGTTTCCTTTGTAATCAAAGTAATAAATGGTGCTATTTGGCTCGCCTTCCTTACTTGGTGAAATAAGCTTTAATGTCCCTAACCGCTTCTTCAGACAATTTATCTTGGTTAAGCTTAGTCAATGTAAATATAATTATGAGCTGCTTAACCAGCTCAGAGTCGTTTGCAAGAACCTAAATGACGTCTACCACTTATTCTCGTTATCGGACTCTTTAAAGTCCATTAAAGCAACATTGCTTAATACGCGCGATTTACCTATGTCGTATTTAAACTAACTTTTATCCTTAAAAAGTCGTTACGTTTCGAAATCGAATTATTGACCATTTATTATCGTTTGCCAGGCTTATGCATGTTTGCGATGGTTTAGGGGTTCATTTGCAATTTGGTCCTGTACCGGTTGTAAGTGTATCCCTATGCTGATAGTGTACACGCTTTTTTTTCTTTTTTTTTTCTTCTTATTTGTTTTATTATGCTTATACTCAATTTTATTATTAATTAATATAAGTTTTGCATTAAGAGCCAATTGAACTCGACTGTTATTTGTTTAGTTGAGTTTCTAGTATAAGTAGAATAAATAAATAAATAAAAATAAATAAATGACATAAAAAAAAAACATTCTTAAACAGTTGTAAACA